GTAAAATACAAAATTTTAGAAAACTGGAAAAAAGATTCAGGCAACTAAACAACGAGACACTGAGAAATACTGAGCTGGTTCAGGAGGACGGCGTGACTTATCTGGGCATTTTATAGCGGCTACTGGTCTGCTTGATTAAAAACCATTTTCTCCACCATCTCTATCTGGTGTTTTCCTTTGCAGCGACAGAAACAAAGAGCAAAGCTTTGTCATTTATCGTTGGGGTTTTTCCCCATGTGTCAATCTGAATTGTTTAAAAAAAGAATTAAAAAAAGAAGAAGAAAGTGCCCATCTTTTATAACGCTTTCAGTGGAAACTACAGATCCATAAGCTTCCACCTCTGAAAAGTGACACCGACGCTTTAGCTCCTTAAAGCTGCATTCTTCCTAATGCAGCCAGCAGGGGGCGATACTAGCGGCTGTAATAAGGTCTTTGACTCAGTACGCGTCTGTAGGAAAACAACCTTCCTTTATCTTTCTTTCTCTAACAACCTTATAGGATATATCACAAGTTTCAGGTCTTAGTAAATACAACATGAAGCTCATTTGTTTTAATGTTACAATTAAGACTTAACCCTGGAGAACCCATGGGGTCAGATTTGACCCCATGGGTTCCCTAGTAAACCAATGGGGTCGGCTCTGACCCCACTGGTTCTCCAGGGTTAAAAAGGTGGATAAAGCAGAGCATGCTCTATTGTGTGGCGGATAAGTGTGCAGTGTCCCTCAGCTTCAGATCCAGCCCTCACTTGTTACCTCCAGTTTTTAAAACCACCAAGAGTGGTGGTGGAATCACATGGCAGCATCTCGCCAACCAATATGTGACGTCACGCTGGCTACATCCATCTTTTTATACAGTCCATAATAATAATAATAATAATAATAATAATAAACATATCATGAACAGTTATTATATATATTATGTGCATATGTTTAAAATATAAGATGTCCTGCATCTGTCCCTGTGGCTCTGAATCAGTCTGTTTGAGAAAATGTTCAACAGGATGGTAACGATTACACGTCTCCCATAAAAAGGTTTGACACTACCAGTGCTATGATAGATTTTTTAAGCAACAAACTTGTGCATGTTGTCGTCATCAATAACAAGAACCTCAGAAACCGATGCAAAGTGAGTGAAGAGGAGAGAGAACGAAAGCCTAAAGCAGATGTTTCTGTTGTCTGTTAATGGGCTTCTGTAATGTCATTAAAGTGGACTCTTCAGCGGTGTAGGCTGAAAGCTGCAGCGCTTCATTTGCCAACTGAACTGCCTACGAGTGCCTGCCAGCAGGCCTGCTCGGTGCTGAGAGTAGGTGTGGCAGTTTTAAAAACAATAAAAACAGAGCACAGTTATCTGTTTACAGTCAGGCTTGTGTTTGCTGCCAAATCTATAACTGGCTGCATTCTGCTTTGTCAGTGGGAGAAACTAAATGAAAATCATCAGCACACAAACATGTTTGTTCTGTGCGACTGGGATCTTCTGTAAGGAGCAACAGCTACCAAGTGCTTGAAGCCTCCCAGCAGGACCTGGCTGCTTTGTTGTCCGCCCCTGGCTTATTTATAAGTGGCGTCATCCTGCTGCGTAACCCTCAAACAAATCAAACCCGTCGTGACACAGCTCGCACCGTTCACCGGGTGAAATATGTTGCTTCTGGTGTCCGCGATGCACACCACCACGCCCTAACACATATCGCACTGTGCTCACAAACACTTCCTCAAACGCTGAGCTAATCTGTCACGTTACCTTCATGGACCGGCTCGGGGTCTGGCGTGAGCGAGATGTCGTTGAGCTCGCGGAGGCACAGCCACTCGCCATCGACAGAGACGCGAAAGTTGCACAGATAAATGGTCTCCCTGGCAGCCTGGGTGATCTTGTCTGTGGTGGGAGTCGGGGTTTCGCTCT